AGAAGCAACAAAAATAATTTTATGATTGGAGGTCATCACACATGAAGAACTGTATTAAAGGGTCACAACATTAGAAAGGTTAAGAACTACTGCTCTAACAGCTGCCCAGTGTCCTGAGAATATATTTTACATATTCAAATTGCCTTTCACCTAATATATTAATGCTTTCTCCTCATATTTTTCTTATTTTAGGGCTCTCTACATTCAGTCAAATATTCCCCTTTTGAGATGTGGTCTTACACTACCCTGGTTGTACTTGAACTTGTGAACCTCCAGAGTGCTTGGCTTATAGACATGCATCACCACACTAGGCTTCTTCTTCATTTATTATATAGCTAAGCTTAAATGGCATGGCTACATAAAAAAGTACACATTGATCCAGAAAAACCGGATGATGCTAGAATTCTTACCAGCATATGAACTTCTAGAATTTATTAGAGAATACCATATATAGTGATTCTCTGTCACACTAATTATTCTACTTTCACCTTCATGTTTTGTTTCTTTCTTTTTCTAGGAAATATTGATAATTTTATAATGTAATCTATTAACATTCAACACCATAATTCAGGAACTAATGCTAATTAAAAATCCAGCCGGGTGGTGGTGGTGCATGCCTTTAATCCCAGCACTCGGGAGGCAGAGGCAGGTGGATCTTTGTGAGTTCGAGGCCAGCCTGGTCTACAGAGCGAGATCCAGGAAAAGGCGCAAAGCTACACAGAGAAACCCTGTCTCAAAAAACCAAAAAAAAAAAAAAAAAATCCAGGCACTGGAGGGAAATAAACTATAAGTCAAGAGTTTATCACCACATGATTTTCTCATATACTTTGGGCCAAGAAGAAATAGATATGCCCAAGAGGCAAAGAAAGACGAATCCAATTTGAAGCAGAACTAACTGAATTATGAGTGGGAAAACAAACTTCAGAATTGATATTGAGTATAGATGTAAAGATAAGTTCACTGTTCATCAGTTTACATTAATATTTACATGATGGAACTCAAGATTTTTCTACCTTAGATAGGTTTCTGGTGTCCCTGATAAGAACAAGAGGAATAGAATGGATCTCTGATGTCACAATGGATCACCCATCAGTCAGAAATGAGACTTCACATGCACAGTACACTTAGAGACAGTGCCTTATTTCCTCTGGATTGACTCCTTAAATAGGCTATCCTAACTCCTTCTATATTTATGTCCTGGATTGATGTAAAATATGTTTATTCTTTATAAATTTGCTACTATTTCTATTTATTTATATTGTTATGAGAAGAGACCAGCCTCTCAAGGCGTGGGCCTCTCTGCAAATTTCTTGCCCCCTTAGAAACTGTAAGCAATTTTAGCATTCTTGTATATGTATAATCTCCAAATCTTGCCTCATTAACCCTTATTTAGATGACAATAACAGTGAAACAACTCCAGGTCTTGCTTATTCTTTTGAGCAACGCTGTTGCAATAGCATTCAAGATATAACTGGATCAGGTACACTAATGGCATCTGAGAACTTTCTAACTCCAAGTTCTCAGGTTTACCTAGACTGACAAAATCAGCAGTCGGTTTCCTACCAAGTTGTCTGGGAAATTCTGAGGCATGCTCCTGCTGGCCAACCTTATTGCTCTTCTGAACTGAGGCTCTTCACTGTTTTCTTATCTTGATCCCTCCTCTTTGGCAGTGTGGGATCCTTTTGCCAGGATCCTATTTTTATATGACCAAAATAGCAAATAAGTTATATTGAAATAGTAAGAACTAATTTGCTACAACACCATCCCTGCTCCTTTGTAACACAGTTACATGAAGAACCAATTTGTTACAACACCATCCCTGCTCCTTTGTAACACAGTTACATGGACCAGTTTAATGACTGCCATTGTTTTGACATGCTGATGGTCAAAAGTTTTCTGGATGGATGTCTGTGATCACTCTAACAGCACCGCGTCTGTGATTGTACAAATGATAAATTAACCAATACTAATACAACTGCAGTTGATGAGTTTATGACTACACTCACTGGGAAGAAATCCTAAATTTTAACCAGTTAAAGGAAAACAGCAGTGTGAGTTTTCTTTGCATCCAAGTTCATGGACTCTGGTTTCTATCTATTAGTCCCTATGGGGTGGGGGTACCTTCTCAAGAAACATAGTTTTTAGCCCATGTAAAAGATGCTTCTCTTGCAATCTGATAAATGTGATTCACTCTGATACAACAGAAGAGGCAGGATGTGAATCAAGTGTTTTCTGGAAGAAACAGAATGAACTGTTCTCCCCGGCCCTGGGGGCACCTCCCTCACTGTGGGGTACCTATGAGAGTTATATCACAGCTGATTAAGCACTTCATTGGAAATCACTAGCAGTCCTACAGTCTCCTGCATCCATTTTCAAAGTCTTATTCTCCTTCTTCAACTGTACTCCTGGAGCTTGGCCTGGTGTTTGACTCTAGGTCTCTGCATCTGCTTCCATCAGTTACTGGAGAAAGGCTCTGTGATGACAGTTAGGGTATTCACAGATCTGATCACTGGGGTAGGCAAGTTCAGGCACTCGCTCCCAGTCTAAGCTGGAGTCATCCTTATGGATTCCTGGGAATTTCCCTAGCACCTGGTTTCTCCCTATCCCCATGAAGTCTCCCTCTATCATGGTATCTCTTTCATTGTTCTCCTACTCCTTCCCTGCTCCAACTCAATCATCCCATTCCCTTATGTTCTCATCCCCCATCCCCTACCCTCCATTGCCCACCTCATCCCCAGTTTACTCATGGAGATCTCATCTATTTCCCCTTTCCAGGATGATCCGTGTGTTCCTCTTTGGGTCGTCCTGGTTTGCTAGTTTCTCTGGAGCTGTGGGTTGCAGTCTGGCCATCCCTTCCCTCACATCTAGCATCCACTTATGAATGAGTACATGCCATGCTTGTCCTTCTGAGTCTGGGTTACCTCACTCAGGATGATATTTTCTAGTTCCATCCATTTGCCTGCAAAATCCATGATGTCATTGTTTTACTGCTGAGTAGTATTCCATTGTGTATATGTACCACATTTTCTTAATCCATTCTTTGGTTGAATGGCCTCTAGGTTGTTTCCAGGTTCTGGCTCTTACGAATAATGCTGCTATGAACATATTTGGGCAGGTGTATGGGGAAACCTACAGAGACAACCAAACCAAACTAGTGGGAACTCATGAAATTTAGACCAACACCTGTGGAGCCTCCACGGGACTGGACTAGGCCCTCTGTATAATCGAGACAGTTGTGTAGCTTGATCTGCTTAAGGGGCCCCCTGGCAGTCGGATCAGGATCCAATCCTGGTGCATGAGCTGGCTTTTTGGAGCCCACTACCTACAGTGGGACACCTTTCACAGCCTTGAGGCAGAGGGAGGGGCTTGAACCTGCCTCAACTGAGTGTACCAGGCTCTGCTGACTCCCCATGGGAGGCCTTACCTTCTTGTAGGAGGGAATGGGGGCTTGGGGGGAAGGCTAGAGGGGCAGGAGGAGAGAAGAGGGGGATCTGTGATTGGTATGTAAAATGAATAAAAAAATTCTTAATTTAAAAAAAAACAAAGTCTTATTCACTCTAGTTTTAAATCTCTATGTGATGTGCAAATCTTTGCTTGTTGATTTATGCATCCGTCAATACCTCTGAATTCCTTAGAACCTCTCAGAAATGGCGTATTTCAAGACATTCCTTTTGATTGTTACAACCAACCCCCATTTGAGGAAACAGAGAGTTCAAGATCACAAAAACACATCAAGATCAGAGGGCAGTTCAGGGCCATTACTTCCACCCTGTTCCAGATTCTGGTTCTGCACTCTGACCTTGCTGGCTATAGCTCCAAAGAGACAAGGAGCCAAGCAGACCTGGCTGCCATATGTGATAGCTGAATGGTAGTATCAGATGAGTGAATGGGACAGAAAAGGGTTTCTTTCCGTTTCAGTTACTGTGGACAGACTCTTCAAACAGGAAATAACAAAGTAGAAAGGGATGCATTACTTTCAACACAAAAGCAAAGGGAGAATAGACTGTGAGGAAAGGGATGTGCCCATACTTTGTGGCTTTGTATAGTAGCAGGTTTTTTTTCCTACCTTTTGTCAATTCCTTCTTCCAGAAGCTATTTTAAAACCACAGTTTTATTCTTCCAGATCCTTTTGTTTTTCAGATACTTTCTTCAAACTCTGTTTACTAAGGGGGAAGTAAGAAGTCCTTCAGAGCCCTTTATTATATTTTCTTCTATTTTTTCTCTTGTCTGTATGTACTGATTAGAACCTGAAGTGAGCACTAGCTAGTCTTAACTTAATAATTTGGTGACAGTGTAACATGAACTAAGGCCTTCAAAAGCTCACTATTAGTTACCACTTAAGGATTGCATTTCCTCTACAGATTCAGATAGAGTTTTGCTAGATGAGAAAAAAAAAACAGCTCTTTATTAAGTACCTACTGTGTACTGTCTGTGAAGCTCTCATCACGTGAAACCGGCAGTATAAGCCAAGGAAGGAGGTAACACAAGGGCTGAATGGTGAGGATACAGGAGAGGATAACCAGCATTTGAAGATGACACAGCTGTAAGGGAGCCAGAAACCAACCGTGATGAGGTGAACAGCAACCAGACTGTGCTCCAGGGAGACCTCAGGGGACCTTCTGAGTGTCTGAAAAATCAGTTCTAGCAGGAATCAACCCATTTGTTTATGTTATATAGTATGCTGAGAGCTTTCCATTAGTGTTTGCTGCAGGAGACAGATATGTGAAGGCCAATTTAAGAAAGGTGGAAGCCAAGGCAAACCATCTAATGTGTAACAAACCTGAATGCATTTTCATAAGAGAAAGAGTTGAATTTTACATCTGCTTTTGTAAGTCATGTGTGATACCCACCTGTGGATAGTAGGGTAAAGGCAGAGAGGAAAAGTCTTACACAGCTACTGAACAGGAAAGTGAAGGATCATTTATACTTTGGGTAAGGCAAATCTTCTTCCAGGTAATTAAAAAAATAGGACATATAAACGTCAACATTTAATTTAAAGCTTAAGAGTGAAACATATATTTATTGTTTCCATGTGAGAAAAGAATCTGAAATGATCATTGAAAGAGCAGTGTAGCTACACTTTAAAATGCGACCATGGAAGAAACTCATGATTTCTGCAGGGACTCTCTTGTAATTTTATTTAACAAATCACATGTAATTAGTTACTTTAAAGACTTCATCAAGATTCATGGGTATAATATTTGAACAACAGAATGATAAAATAGTAAAATAGTAGCTGGTTTGATATTACCACTAAGAATTATTATGTTTGACCCATTGAAAACAACATGTCAGGTTTAATATATGTAACATATATTATTATAATTAATATATTATATAATTCAATATATATTAGCAGCATGGAAAAACCTATGACTTAAATAAGAGAATATTTAACTATTTAATATTCTTTTCAACTTGGGACAAAGGATTAGTAGAAGTAAGTATGGGAATACATATGCTTTGTGAAAACCAAGTTACTATTATCTAACATATGTACTAAGGCTCTTCCTTAGTATTGATATCTCAGGCAAGAGTCTAAATATAAGCCTACGTATTACATACATATTATGTGTCAAGCATGTAAATAAAACTACAAGGCAATTCAATAAGTTCCTATTTTCCCCTTTGCAAATAATTTTAACACCCAGGAAAATTAGTTTCAAATTTAGAATTCTTAGAAAGTTCAAAATCCTTGGAGAATTGTACATAAGTATGCTAGTTCGGGAATAAGCTGCCCTCTGGCCTTTGGAAAGTCCCTTTGCTCATTCTCAGGTCATTCCTGAAAACTAAGCGTTGTCAGAGAAGATGTATGACCCATCAGCAGGAAGGAAATTTCAGCTAAAACTTCATATCATATCTCTATGAGCAAAAGCCACTGGGTTGGAACATTTGGAGTCTAGTGGTCTAGGATATGCTCACAAGTTCAGACTTATGCTCTAGGGAGACCTGTTTCCTTGATTCTGATCACTTCTCATCACAGGAAGAAATACCAAGCCAAAGCAAGCCCAAAGTTGAGAATAGTAAATGCAAAAACAAAGCCAAAGCCTCTCTCCATTTTTCTTACCATGGTTCTAATGCTAGAACTACAAATGCTGAACCAGGACAGATGTCAGGGCTGAAAGAAAACACATCTAAATTCTTAAACAAACTAGAATATATGTTAGCCTGAATTTAAGGAGCATGTGTCAATTACAGAACATAAACAAACTGCAGTCTATAAAAATGACCAGAGCATATAGACCTGGATCACCAGGCATTGTATTTTGTAACAAAAATAAAATGATGATGATGATGATGTGCATAAAGAAAAACAACAAAAAAAGGAAGCAGAGCAAAGAAAAAGAAGGGAATCCCTGGGTTCCTGGGTGGCAATGAATTCTTTGTTCACTGAGTATATATTCCTTTGGTAGCCTGGATGTGCAGCCAGAAGCACGCAGCTTCTGGAGCTCTTGGCACTCAGCAGATGGAAACTCAGGACCACACATATACAAGTAGTGCACATGCTCCCCATGGGACAAAATGAGACACAAGTGACTAGGCCTTCGATGTTTGTTTCCACCCTTTGCTCCTGCATGCTGTAAGCTGAGGTAAATGTTTACAAAACTTTTGGAAACTAGCATGTTAATTTTGATCCAAGGGAGGGGTTGTTTCTGGTCAACTGAGGGATTTTGAAATGCTCTCCAGTTGGAACATAAACCATTTCATTTTGTAATTATAAGAGAGATGAAACCAGATTTAATTCAACAACTTTTTTAATAGCTGCATCTGCTGTAAACCACGTTGTAAATTTGTTCGTGTAATTTGAATTGTAGTTTCTGTAGATTCAAAACAAAGCAACATCGTGCAAAGATTTTCCTGCTTACACGGAACTGTTCCTGTCATGGGAGTGCACTGTCATAGTACAGCATTGTGAAACTCAGTGTGGATTACTCTTCAATCATTAAATACAGAAAGTCCCCATGATCCAGCTATATCACTCCTGATACATAGCCAGAAGGCTCTATATCTTATCACAGAGGAACTCATGCTTCCATGTTCCTTAACACATTATTTGTAAGCAAGGAAATGGAACCAACCTAGATGTCCACCGATAGATAAGTGAACGAAGAAAATGTAGTATATATGCACGACTGAATTTTTATTCTGCTGTAAGGAAAAGAAAAATAATGAAAGGAGATTGATGGACCTGGAAAGTATTACATCGAGTAGGTAACCAAGATCATAAACAAAACTACATAATCTCTTTTATACACAAATCTTAGCTTTTAATGTCTACCTGTGTGTGCATAAATAGGTGTGAGTGTGTCTATAGACTAAGACACTAACAAGGAAGTTGGGAGAGGAAAAAGAGTGTCCAGGAAGGGGGACAATTGTGACGTGAGAGCAGAAAGGAAGCTAGAAGGGTACAAGGGGTGGGGTAAGGCAGGAATGTGGGTAAGGATACGGGGGAGGAGAATCAAAATTTTATTTGAAAATTAAACCTATCACTGTGTGTACTGATTAAATTTTTTAATTAAAGCATAACTGTAACATATTAGATTGTCAGATACCATGTAAATGGTAGAATCTGTCTGGAGGAATTTCATCTCATACTCTAACATCCCCAGTGTGCTTCCGGAATAGTGTATGTTTGGAACAGTTGGTAGACTTAAATATGTTTTATAATGTAATAATATAATCTCAGCTATAACAATGTTAACTTCACTTTGTGTATGCATTAGCATTTGTTATTAGGCATCACACTCAGAGATTTATTTTTACAAATGATTAACTTCAGAGGTAATAGTTTCAAAATGGGTTGAGCAGTATGTGATCTGCCTAGTTGGTTCTGTTATATTTTAACCTTTTCCAACTGAATAGTTCAAAATACTATGGGAGTAATTTTGCTAAATGTAAGCATTTTCCTTTATGTGAGCCTTGTGTTATTTTTAATTCTATATCAGTATTAGCATAATATTTTAATGCCTATCTCTTCTGGGTGTGTAGTATTTACAGTTTTGCTTACTTTTATCAGTAAATACATTTGATTAGCATTCTTAAACACAATATTTTGTATATTTGCTTATATTTTTATATTCTCAAGCACATATGGTGTTTTAAATTCTCCTTTGAATAATTATGACATATTACTGGTTCCATCATTAGTGATTGAGTTAAACAAAATCTTTGATGCTGTGGGATGTTCTGTATGACAAATGTGTTGCTAATTAGTCAATAAATAAAACACTGATTGGCCATTGGCTAGGCAGGAAGTGTAGGCAGGACAAGGAGGAGAATAAAGCTGGGAAGTGGAAGGCTGAGTCAGAGAGACACTGCCAGCCACCACGATGAGAAACAGCATGTGAAGATGCCGGTAAGCCACGAGCCATGTGGCAAGGTACAGACTAATAGAAATGGATTAATTTAAGCTGTAAGAACAGTTAGCAAGAAGCCTGCCACGGCCATACAGTTTGTAACCAATATAAGTCTCTGTGTTTACTTGGTCGGGTCTGAGCGGCTGTGGGACTGGCAGGTGAGAAAGATTTGTCCTGACTGTGGGCCAGGCAGGAAAACTCCAGCTACACTTTGACACATTTAAGTTCTTATTTGTATGAGGTTATGACCTTGTTTTCTCTTTTTTTAAAAAAAATTTCATTATTTTATTTCTAGTATTTAACACAAACCCACACACTGAAATATAGTGCAGAAAGGAGAAAAATTCCCTAAAAACATTCCTATGAGAGGAAATTTCCTTTTATTATAGCATAAGAACCTGTGCGTGTTAGAGTCTTAGCATAGAAAACAAATTCGTATTTTTTAATTAATTTATTAAATTCACTTACTAGTTTATTGAAGTCTTTAAAGAGAGGACTAAAAAATCACCATTTATTTGGCAAAATATTTCATTAACTGTTGCAAAAATTTTGTGAGAAATTCAATTACTCTGTACTCCAATGAAGATGAGTGAACATCAATGTTAACTTGCAACTTTAATACTCTCATAAAATCTAAATAGAGATTTTTAAGTAGATATAGCATAAGTTCTTTTAAGTGACTGGAACATCTTGAATAATGTTTCTGTGAGCAAATTAAAACACAAAGGAAATTACAACATTCACATTAAAACATCTAAGCAGTGAGTAGTACAACACTGTGAGTACTATTAAGCTCTATACAGTTTGTTATATTTAAACAAACACAAAACTCCAGGATGGATGATTTATCAGTTAAAAAAAAAATACAAAGTCACTTCTAAAAATGTCAGCCATGACTTTAACAAATAATTGTAGAAAATGATAGATCTAACTTTCAAAACGCTAGAAATTCTCCAAATTAGTTTCTAGGCACCAGAGAAGTTTTCTTATGAAACTGTCAGATTTTTTTTCTTCTGCAAGCAATACAGAAAGTTTTCAGCGGCGCTTCAGCTTTCAAGAAGTCTAGTTTCAAAAATAGCATTGCAGAACTAATACTGACTGATCTCAGACTGGTGTAGCTGAGGATTACACCACAGTGGATGCTGGCATTAAAGAAATCTCAACGACACTCAATATGATAAAAGAATAATAAAACTGAAAATTATACCTTTTAAACTTGTTCTCTAGTAACTCGGCATTCTGTACTATCGTTTATCGTTAATACTTGACTGGAAGAATGCAGAACTACGTGAACACTGTCAGCAAAAATATGAATCTAGGCCTCTGAATAATAAATAGCTAACATTTGAATGTAGTAAGAGGAAGTTTTATACAGTTTTGGCAACTGAAAGTTCAGAACAATCTGCATTCCTTCTTAATGCTGGCTTGCTATGAAATCCACAAAATTGAAACTACTTTAGTAACACCGTTTCCTGTATAGGTAAATTACAAATCTGTATAACAGATCATCTAACATGTCAGTTCTTGATAATTTGAATTATTTTCCTTGATGATTTTAAACAACTATTGCAGCATAAGACACTATTAGTGATGACTAAATCCTTACTTTCATCCATTGTAACCTGACTAACATACTTCAAAACACACATATATGACTTTCGCCAAACTGACTTGTACTAACTCAAGTCAATCTTGTTCTTCAGAAAGCCCAGAACAAAGTAATATTAGAAAAATTAAATCCATTTAGATGTCGCTTTACCTCATGAACAAAGCTTTCTTCTGTCTTAATTTAATTCTTATCTAAATACCTGACAGTTCTTCCTCAATAAGTTCAAGGCTTTCCCTGACTTGGATTATCACCATAGTAGTTTACTGAAATACTGAAACAGTATATTATATAGATAAAATTCCTCTATGGTTCATTTAAAAGATAACCTGGGTCTTTTTCAAAACCATATGTCTTCATCTAGTAATAGTAAAGTTACATTTTAGTGAATTAAAGTCTACACATGTAGCAGACTAGCTTTTCTTGCTGTAGTTGTTAAAAATTTCCTGATTTCAGTGAGTTGTCACCAACATCAAAGAAGAAATATGTCAGCACACCAAAGATAATGTGTTTGTGAAATTATGGCTTTGCATTTTTAAATAAATATTTCATATCTTATCACTGCTATTTCTAGGGTTTGTTCTTGGTTCTGAAACTACTGATGCTGGTATCTGGTTGTCCTTAAAATATTTACCAAATATAGAATTCAGGACTCTATTTCACCATAGAATCAGCCCAGATACAGTATCAGCTACTAAGTTGCATATGATGCTACATTATCTATCTGCTTTAAATGTTACCTAGCTTGTGTTTTGAACTGAAACAATAAAATAAAATGGCAGAGTATTTACAGGTTCATTTTCACAGCAATCTCCTCTCTCTCTCTCTCTCTCTCTCTCTCTCTCTCTCTCTCTCTCTCTCTCAGGTTTAGAAGATAAAAAGAAATCCTTCATTGATTCTCTTCATGTAAAATGATTGATCACTTGTCTACACAGTAGAAATGGAAAGGCAAGGCCAGAGTTTCTATTTACAGATTCAGGAAAACTGATTTCCTCCTATGCCTGCAATAAGATTTTTTTTTAAGTAGCTGGCAAAGTGTTTGCAGCTTCCACCGATGTATTTCCCTAGTGATTCAGAAAATGATTGCAAACTGTAGAATTTGCTCACCAAGTGTCAAAACGGATTGCCACAGGATACAACCATATGTGGCAGCAACTGAGAAACCCATAGGAATTCTGCTCAGTCGCTTTTCTTAAAGAATATGAGATGACAGTCCATTGGAGGCATTCTAAAGAGGGTTGGAGTCTTTTCTGGGCAAACTGTTCACTGCCACCAAATGACAACAGGACAAAGAGATTTACAACAAACAAAAAATCAAAATGTCTTCTCATGTCTGAAAGATTGAGTGAGGTTTCCTCAGGTGGAAAGAGCAGAGCTCTGGCTGGTGTGGGTGTGAAGGTGCACAGTCACCCACGGGTTGAGTGCCGCTGTGTTGTGTGGGTTCCGAGGCATGTCAGAGTTGATTGTGCTTATCTTCTTTCCAATTCCACATTCAGTGACGTCAGGTTGGTAACTTGAAATCAGTCACAGTGGGAGTATTTACTGGCCAACATCATCAGTTGAGGCTTTTCCCCCCCATAGAGAGAGGGTTGTTAAATTTATCAACACAAGTCTCATTTCACTTGAGGACTTTCTTTGTGGCATTCAAGAAATTCATTTACTATTAAATCTTCTGGCTTTAAAACCATAGGTTCAAGTGGCACGAAACAGGTGAGAGCTCTCTATTTTCACATGACTAGATCATACATTTTTTCTGGTTTTAAGGCAACACTTTCAATATCCTGGATGCTTTTTCCATTTAAGTGTTCAGTGGGACAGTCGTGACTGTACCCTGGGACATCACTGATTGTTGACACTGTGTAGGATGCACTGCGGAGAGCATCAGAGTGGGAAAAGCCATTTCCAAATTGGATCTTATATTGGTTCCAATTTCTTCTCAGAATTGCTTGAACCTATCAATCAACAAGAAACAGAAAGAGCAAGAACAACCCATTAGGTGATTTGAAAATGTTCTATTCGAAGCACAGATGCCATCACCTTTATACTATCAGGTCAGCCTCTGCAACCTAGAGGCTGATCACTTCTAGGTCATGAAATATTTGCTCTATGGCACGATATATGTTTGCCCAAGTGTTCATTGTTTGAATAGTTTTTCCCAGACTGTCATTTGATTTTTGGCTAGTTTTTAATGTGCTGTGGGATAATCCTGTACACTGTGAAAATGTGTTGCTCTCCTGGTCAATAAAAAGCTGATTGGCAGGTAACCATGCAGGAAGTATAGGTGGGACAACCAGAGTAAGGACTGGGAAGAAGAAGGAAGGAGATGCAGAGAGAAACGAGATGGGTGTGCTGTACTGAGAAAAGGTACCAAGCCATGTGGCGAAGCATGGATAAGAAATATGAGTTAATTTAAATGTAAGAGTTAGTAACAAGGCTGAGCTATCAGCCAACATTTACAATTAATATTAAGTTTCTGGGTGATTATTTGGAAGCATCTGTGGCACAAGAAAACTCCACCTACATTTATGTGCCTCTCCCCAGGAATCTAAGCATCTAAAAAATTTTGCAGCAATCCATATACTCTTAACATCCTCAGATGTTAAGGATACATAATTAACTTTCTGTTCAACATATTCATGTAAAATCTATATTAAATATTTTATAAAGTCTGTCCTATTTCTTTTCTTGTTCCCTCTTCAAACTCTAAACATTCTACAAGCAATACTGATCTATAGGAAGCTTTGGGGGTACTTTCAAGTCTCTTATATGCTATTACTTAAGATGAAAACAAAGTTTTCCTGTCTTATTTCATGTTTTAGTATTAAAGGAAAAGTGATGGTCAAATATGTAGGCATCCATTTCTTAAACATAATTCAAAATTAATTACAGACATGTTCATTTAATTTCTTTGTAATTCAAACACTATATAAGTAAAATACTATAAGCTCAGTTATACAATATATTATTAAGAAGTTCAGCAACTTTTGGACTTTCAGGACAATTCTTTTGTATCTGATAACAAAAGCTAATGTATATTCCTGTAACTATTGTGGTAATAAAAGAATTACAGGATAATGTACGTATTTATTTTGAATAAAATTGCATTTGCTTCTCCTGTGGTTTAGTAATTGTAAATCAACAAATAAGATATTTAAATTAAAGTAGCTTAGTAATGTTTATGCATGTAATATCTTTAAAAATGCAAGCAAATTATAACTGTAATGAGTTTTCTTTTGTTTTGGTTTGGTTTTTTGGTTTTTGTTTTTTTGGGTTTTTTTTGGTTTTTTGAGACAGGGTTTCTCTGTGTCACAGTCCTGGCTGTCCTAGAACTCATTTTGTAGACCAGGCTGGCCTGGAACTCACTGAGATCTATCTGTCTGCCTCTGCCTCCCAAGTGCTGGAATTAAAGGCCTGTGACACCATCACCCAATCTGTAATGGCTTTAAATGGTATGTGTTAAGTAAATATTTAGAGATATGAAAAATGCTTTTAAACAATTATGTAACTATTTGGTGGGAATTATTTTATTCTCATGTTTATACATATTTTTCTTGTTTATTATGAATGCTAGACTAATCAGATGCTGGACCTACACAGATTCAAGTTGAATGGGAGTGGGATGTAGCTTCCCATAAAATAGTCCACACTAATGTTAAAAGACCTCAACAAGAAGACACCCATCTTGAGGCCCTAGGACAGATAGTTCTAAAAGAAAAGCTAACCAAATCCCAGCAGTCAAAATTAGTTTGAGCTGTTAGATGTTTGACCTTGAAGAATCTATGGTGATGGTTATCAACTTATTTCTTCTTAGTGATTTCTTCTTAAATCAACAGAAAAATCATGAAAAGACAATATCCTGAAGTGTGAATTATTATTTACCAAAGTTAAAAATGAATTTAATAAAGACCCAGGGTCTTTGCAAACATGTGTGATAAAAAATGTTAATTTTTAACTTCTTTCTCTAATATAAGACCATGTTTATTTAACAGACTGTTAAATTAGACATTCAGTAAGTTTAAATGGGAAAAAAATAAAAAACATGTAGCTGGGTGCTATAAAAGATATAGATATGGTTTAAGTGGTTTGTGTATGAGTTTTATGCAGGCAGCTAAATCCAATGATTAGCATAGTATATGCTCATTTATGCACCATAAGGATCAATAATAATTAATAACATAATACTCATTAATCTAAATCAACTTTTAAGACTATGATAAAGGCCAGCAGTAGTGGCACCCGCCTTTAATGCCCAGCACTTGGGAGGCAGAGGCAGGCAGATCTCTGTGAGTTCAAGGCCAGCCTGGGCTACAGAGTTCCAGGAAAGGTGCAAAGCTACACAGAAAAACCATGTCTCTCTCTCTCTCTCTCTCTCTCTCTCTCTCTCTCTATATATATATATATATATATATATATATATATGATCAAGATAAAGAAAAACTACCCAGTTTTCTTTACTGAATGTTAAGGCTTCTCAATGATTTTGTTTTGTTTAGTTGATAAAAAAAATACATATAATGTATGGTTGATACATATGCCCTTCTGATGACTATAGTCCCTTGTTTATGTTACCAGGACATATTTTTATTTGAGTGGGATGGTGCTGGAAGTGGCCTGGCCACTTGTCAACTACTGTTAACTAGCAAGAAATGCTAAGAGGAAGATAGATGTTTGCTGAAAAATTATCAGTGAGAGTCAAGTGCAAGTGCAGAGAGTAGGCAAAAGCAAGCCACTTGACCTACTGCGAAGGGCAAGAAGGAAACTAAAATCAAGCAACTGATTTTAACAAAAACATGACATACTTGGAACCACACAAACTGAATCTGGCAGCTATTTCTTCATGTTACAAGAGTGGGAAATAAACTAAGAGGCAAAGAGACAAAATGGGAGGGAATAAGGCATTTCTTAAGATGAGGGATGAGATCACACTCAAACAGGGATTGTGTCTCCCAAGCAGAAGGAAAGAGGACAGATGTTACAGAGGTTGTGATGAACTGCAGGATCTGGCAACCACCTAGTTCAAAGGTTTTCTTATTATTAAAGTTTTCCAATGCCAAAATTTTCTCAATTTAAGGCATGGCAGAAGAACAAGGTACTGTGTCTCTTTTGTTTATACAGATAAAGGACAACAGGAGTGCAAGGCATTCACTTCAATATTCCCTGGACACGGTTTTGGGAGGAAAGCGCCAATTTGAAATTTAGATTGCAGTATGATTAATGCTCCCATTTCTACATGGCTTTTCATTGAAACAGTGAGTTATTTGACCAACAGTGCAATGAAGCTATACTATTCTAAGGATGTGGTGAGGTTGGGCATATGAAAACTTTACATTCCTCAGTTTACATTCACCTTTTCGACATTAGTGTAAATAACTTGCTTTTATTTCCATTTTATAAGGACAAATACACTTTCTTTGGTTCCAAATCTTTCCTAAAATATAACTGCTAGGGAGAAAGAAGTGTCTCCAGAATCTAAAGGCCCTATATTGTCCATTCTCCATCGTCTCCTACTCTAGTCCACTACTGCATCGCTTACTTTCCTAGGAACTATGACTTAAATAGTTTAAACCACACTAATCTGTGTCTGTAGATAAAAAGCCCGTCTTCCGAGCCGGGCGTTGGTGGCGCACGCCTTTAATCCCAGCACTCGGGAGGCAGAGCCAGGCGGATCTCTGTGAGTTCAAGGCCAGCCTGGGCTACCAACTGAGTTCCAGGAAAAGGCGCAAAGCTACACAGAGAAACCCTGTCTCGAAAAACAAACAAACAAAAAGCCTGTCTTCCATATTTCATACATGCTCTTTGGCATGTGTTCATATCGTTCTCATGAATACTTAATTGTTATAGCCAACATCAGCAACATATAAGATTGCCTAAGTCAGTGCATCTGCATACATATATACACAACAAAGGCTGTGTGAGTTTCCCTGTCAAAAACAAAAAACAAACAAACAAAAAACAATTTATCGGTCCTTTCTCAGTGCAGTCTCTGTCTACAAGTGTTATCGATTAGAGGAAAACAGTCACTCCCATGTATAATATAGAAGAGCCACAGAAATAGTTACAGATCAATAGCCACATTTCACAGTGCACTGTTCTATCCCACGGTTATACACGGTGTTATAAATAAATATAATGTAATGGCTATAGTTTCAATTACACACACTTTAATTTTTACTTTAAACAATTTGTTTAATCACATCCAAAAAGAAAAAAGTAAAAGTTTACTTAAATGAGGAAAAAGTACTTTATAGTTTCTCGTGAGATGTATATAATTTCCAATCCTTTATTTTATAAGAAATATCCTCATAAATTATGCCAACTGGTCCATGTGTTCCCCATCTGAGGTTTCCTGGTGAGTTTCTCGGTTATCCAGTGACCATTTCTCACTGGGCTGCTGTCTGGATTTCTATGCTGTGCTCAGTTTTGCTAGCATGCTCCCAATGAAAATTGGCCAACAGACCAGAAACAAATAAAAAGCAAAGACAATAATGCTCAAAACAACTGAGCAGTAACACTATCCATGTGTGTAGAATATGGACCCAGTTAGATTACTGAAGCCACTCAAGTAGGAAGGCCTCAGGTAAAAACCTATGAATCTCCAACGTTCATTTGTTTTCATCTTTTGTGTCTATGGTACAACCTTTCAAAAGATTACAGAGTTGAGCCTACTGAAAAAGAGAAAGGGGGAAATGAGTGGGCTGTTTCTCATGACAATGTGTGCTCTATGAAGTTAATCATTGCCCCCATCACTGTTCCCAGGGCAACATCCAGACTTAGTACCTCCTAATGGTAGGTCAAAGGGCTGCCTACTCATTGGAATATTTTGAAGTAAGACTAACTTTTCCCTATTTCTCAACTCTAATATTACCTGTGTTTTGAGATGAAAATTTGTACCTACAAAAAGTAACTTTATATTATTTCTTTCTATGATAAAATTGGTATTTGAAATAGATGTTTTGGGCTTGGGCAGTGATGGCACATGCCCTTAATCCCAAGCCTCAGGAAGCAGAAATAGGCAGATCTGAGTTCAAGGCCAGGCTGATCTACAGAACAAGTTCAAGGACAGCCAGAGCTACACAGAGAAACCCTGTCTCAAAAATAATAATAATAATAATAATAATAATAATAATAATAATAATAATAATAATAATAATTGTTTTGAGAGGAGTTTATAATCCCATTTTGTTTTAAAAGAAAAACTGTATAAATTATAAAAGTAGTAAAATCAATAAGCATACCTCTCCATTAAAAAAGCAGAAAATTGTAGACACCAAAAGACCCTGTTTAAAAAACAAAAAACAGAATTATCTGGATCTGTTTTTTATTCTTTTCTTTATTATTTAAAACAATTTTAAATTTAAAATATTTTGGTCATATTCTTCCCCTCCCCCAAATCCTTCCAAGTCCTCTCCCCCTCCCTGCTCACCTAACTTTAAGTTTTTTCTCAAAAAACAAATACTCAATATAAAAGCAAACCCCCCCCCAAACCAAGAAAACAAAAAAAAACGACACACACCCAAAAAGGAAAAAAAAAACCAAAACGCCAAACTGTAACCAAATAAAAGCACACACAAAAAACAAACAAACAAAAAACTAGGGAGTGCGTTATATGTTGGTCAACTCCTCCTGAACACGAGGCCTGTCCTGGAGTGGTTGCTATACCCGGTGTCACTCCATGAAAGATAACTGATTTTCGCACTCCCAGCAGATACACATAACAGTTCAGTTGTTCACCTTTACCCTCATGGCCAGGTTTTCACCCCTTCATTTTTTTTTTAAATATAACAAAATAAAATAAGGTAAAGCAAAAATTATCACACCGAAGTTGGACAAAACAAAGCAACAAAAGGAAAAGAGCCCAAGAGGAGGTCCAAGAATCTGAAAGACTTCACATATTTAAAATCCACTTGTCACAGAAGCATCAAGAGTAAAACCAAATCTACATGCAAACTTAGTACCAAACTTGTCAAGCTTGCGCTCCTGAGTGGCAGGAGCGCCTTACCTGATAGTGCATCAGGATGTGCATGACATAGTCATACACCTCCTCGGCAACCCTCCCTTCAGGCCGCCACGGAAAAAGCACAAATTCAATGCCCAGGAGTGGCACCAAGATGAGGGTAGCTCTCACAGCTTTCATGTAAAGATTGGACTCCGCTTGGTGAGTAACTTTCAACTTGGTGATGAGAACGCGCACAATATTTAATAGGAAAAAGAGGTTTACCTAAAAGGAAAATAAAAGAGCATCTAAAAGTCCGTTCGTGTTTAGTATTAAGAAGCCTTACGAGAACTCCAGTTTTCTAAAACCTGGACTATTTCATGTACAAAGACTGAAAGCACATTTTGTATAATAATACACATGTTAATTAGTGTGTATTTCTAGAGTGATGCTCTTCAGTTTACAGGTACATGAATTTTGATGAAATTAACTTTTAGAAAAATAAAATTATAGTAGAATTGTAGAATTATTATGGATCATATTCATTCCGGAAATATTTCAGTTATTTTCTTAGTTCATTTTCTACATAATATTTAAGGCTTGTCTATGATTCCAAATCAAGGTCATAAACACTTTTAGCAGAAGGAACTATTCTTAAGAAATGTTCATTTTTTTTAGGATTTATTTGTGTGTTATGTGTGTGTGTGAGCACACATGTATATGTGTATGTACCCATGGAGGCTCCGGGAAGAAGTCAGATCCCTGGAACTGGAAATACAGGCAGTTGTGAGCTGCCCAACATGTAGGCTGGGAACTGAATACAGGTCCTCTGGAAGAGCAGCAAGTGTTCTTAATCACTGAGCCAACTCTCCAGCCTCAACATATGTTGATTTTTTTAAAATCACCTTTTCCTCAGTGCCCATACTGTCAACTCTCCAGGCATGTATTCTGCCATAATAACTGTTTTTATGTATTTGTTTTGCCTTCCTTTTTGTAATAATCTTCACAACATCTTTTTATATAAACATTTCTTATAACAAGTACCTGAAATAGGACTGTAATTTTCTTTATGCTTATAAAGAAATGGTCACACAACTGAACCAGCTGATAATCAACCTAGATGATGCTAGAGAAAGAATCTTTGGTTTTCCATAACAACTTCTATAAATAACTTTCTGCAACTACAATTTATGTGCTGTAGCAACGTTTCCCCAAGAGATTACACTGTCTTTGAAGAGATTCATTCCTAGAACTCTGAAAATGGAATTTGACTCAGTAATTAGGAATCTGTCTTATGAAACATTAATTTCAATTTGTCTGTACCCTCCCATCCCTTTCATCCACTTTTTCTTTCTCCAAACTCTACTTTCTCTCCTTTTATATTGACTGTTTTAGTTCCTTCTCCTCTTCCTGTGATAAAATACTCTGACAAAGTGTGTTAGAGTCTATTTTAGCACACCATTCAAGGGACAGTCTGTTACAAAGGGAAGTGGAGGTAGCAGGAATCTGAAGCAGTTGGGCCAGTTCTATATTAAGCCGAGAATCAGGAGCAAGGAATGCATGCTGGTGCTCATCTCACTTGCTTCATTTATACCATCCAGGATTACCTGGCTATAAAATGGTCCTACCCATGATTAAAACGTATCTTCCCACATCAATTAAAGTAATTAAGAAAATCACCTACAAGCATACTCAGAGGCCTATAGGTCACTCTAGGTCCCGTCAAGTAGACAGTTAACACTGACCACTATATTGACGGAAATACAAACTAAACTTTACCCATTTCCCATTGACAATTCGTCATGCTTTTAAGGGGATTATGTCCAGAAATGTCATATTGGGCAAATTGTTAATTTCTTTCTTTTTTCTCTCATCTTGACTTCTATTGCATCTGTCCTTTGTTTAGTAACCTGATCATAAATTTTTAAACAACAAACAAGTATGGAGTTTATGCCTACACACCTTAATAAACTCAAAGCTGGGCAGTGGTGGTGCACACCTTTAATCCCAGGGCTCAAAAAGCAGAGACAATCAGATCACTGTGAGTTCGAGGCCAACCTGGTCTACAAAGTAAGTTCTAGGACAGCCAGGGCTGTTGCACAAAGAAACTCTGTCTTGGAAAACAAACAAACAATAAATAAATAAATAAAAATTCAAACAAAGGTAACCCATCTGTTGAGGAAAAAATGAATAAATAATATATGTTTATTAATTTTTAACGTGGGTCATGAAAATACTAAGCATAAAACTACTCCACTATTAGGAGAATTCCATGTGACATAGGCTTTAAAGCAGCCCCCTAATGAGAACACATCTGTGAGAAGCACACGTTTATAGACACTGGAATGCGACAAAGACAAACAGAGAACGCCATTTGACAGGTGGGGATGAAGGACGGCATAAGTCAGTGTGCCAGCTGCACTCCCACCCCCTCTAAACAGATTTCCCTCTTACACATACACGGAAGTCTTCAAAAATAAAAATTACTACTGCTTCCTGGAAAAAGCTGGGTAATGATTCTTTTATCCACTATTTATAAGTTATAGGTATAAAATATAAAGTATTTTAAAATCCTAATACTCAAAAAACACTAATTAATAAATGGTAGAAATGTGGCAGTTTAGACCCATCCTCCAAGAAAGAATAGCCAGATTCAAAAGGATTCTTTAAAGTCATCATGCTTATTTAAAACATGAAACTAGAAATGATGAGGAAGCTAATGTCTATGTACGCTTCTCTATATATATAGCTGGGGCAGGGTGAACTGGATACTATGCTCCATGCAGTTTCCCACGTCAATAAGTATTTTAAGCAAAAGCAGAATAATTTTAAATTTTAGATGAACTCATCTGAACTTCATCTGACTTGGGACAGACATGGTTAAAAGATTCCTGATGGTTTTTATTTATTTATGTTTTTGAGAATTTTATACATGAGTTCTTCATTTTCATCATTCCCCCACTCACCTTCTCCTTCCTGAAACTCCCCTCAGGTAAACCCCCATCCCCACACTTTCTCATACTCATAGCCTCTTTCTCTTTATCATTGTTATGTGTGTGTGTATTTAGACATGCATATAAATATATACGTAAGAATATCTGTAAGTGTTGCTCTGTGTATATACATATATAGGGCTGAGCACTCGGTTGATTATGGCACCCATCCCTGGGGAGATGAAGAGGTACAGGTATTAATACCTGCTGAGAAACCTGTTTTTACTAGAGCACCTGTAATGTTCAATAGCCACAAGATGTCTTTATAGCACAAATCCTAATTGGTCTTTAACCAGAGCCAGATATCAGGTAAATGCTGAAAGATCAGAGAGACAAAGGAACAAGCCACAGCCACCTCTCACCTCACCAACTCCTCAGCCAAAAAAAAAAAAAGCGGGGGGGGGGGGGCACCTGTCTTCTCCCACTTTATATTCCTTTCTCTGCCCAGCCATATCACTTTCTGTCTCAACCTCCCTAGTGCTGGGATTAAAAGCATGTGTGCTTTCCAAATACTGGGAGCAAAGGCATAAAATCCCAAGTGCTGGGATTAAAGGTGTGGGCCACCACTGCCTGGCCTCTATGGCTAACTAGTGGCTGGCTTTGCCCTCTGATCTTCAGGCAAGCTTTATTTGCTAGAGCATACACAAAATATCACCACACATCTTCCTATCACGATAGTGCCCAGAGTCACAGAAAGAAGCAGAGAGAGTCAGTACAGTGGCTGAAGGAGTACTGTTGGAAGACTTTCACGCAAGGATGGCCAGTAATTCCTTACCTATGCCCTCAAGTGGCCTAAACATCTCCAAGATCTCAAATTAAATGCATCATCTCTCAGCAGTATATTGAAAGTGCTGGAGATGCACCCTCCTGCTCAGGGCAGGGGAGTGTGAGGGAGTCTGAGCAAGAAAGATGGATTGGTTTAAATGACTTATTTATTGAAACTGTACAAAGACTAGAGCCCCGCCTAGACTCCTGGAATTTAAAGGGCCAATGAGGGACCCCAGAGTTAAAACAAGGACAGAACAATTTAAATTGGATAAGAAACAGTGTCCTAGTTTTGTCTTAGGTCACTTGGTAAGTGTCAAATGTTTTATGAAGACAGAGCACATATTTACTTCCTTTGACTGAGCAGTGTGATGAGCTATGTATCATTTTTACTGAGGTTACATCCCTGCTCTTCTCTGCCAAAGCTGGCGTAGACAGACTTTTCTGGAGACTGAGTTAGCTGTTGTTACATTTTCCATTTTGTAGGTGCTTTTCCTTCATTAGCACCTCTGATTTTAAGAGTTTTAATTGCAAACTACTGCTGCACACTCTGATCACATGCAATAAAATATTGACTTGGGTGTGTTCATGAGTAGCCTGCACAACGTGTCTTAATTTCTGTGAGCTCTGTTCCAAACTGAATCATGGTATCATGCAGAAATGACAAGTGAAGAATTGTTGAAAGAATTCTTTTGCGCATTTTATCATAATCTAGGCATTCTGCTAGTCACATGCCAGAACATGTCATTTACTCCTTAAAAGACTCTTTGAGTAATTCCTACTATCCCATCATTACAGAAGAGGAAGCAAAGTCATGGAGAGGTTAAAAATAAAGTAAGCCAGCTGGGCGGTGGTGGCACACGCCTTTAAGCCCAGCACTCGGGAGGCAGAGCCAGGCGGATCTCTGTGAGTTCGAGGCCAGCCTGGGCTACCAAGTGAGTTCCAGGAAAGGCACAAAGCTACACAGAGAAACCCTGTTTCGAAAAACCAAAAAAAAAAATAAAAATAAAAAAATAAAGTAAGCCAAGCACCACTTCTCCATGGTGACTGTTTTTTAACCAGTTGATATTTTCAGTATTTTGGTTTAAAATAGCTTGGCCATGAATATGTGGGTTGGTATCTATATTCTAATTTGTTCCATAGGTAATTTGTGTCTGTTTCATGTCAGTCATATTCTGCTTTTATTATCATGGATTTATACTATGTTTGAAGTTTAGTATTGAGATGCCTTCTCTGTTATTTTTGCTTAGAATTGTTTTGTAAATTCTGTATCTTTTATGAGTCCATATGACTTTACAACTGTTTTTCCAACTCCATGTAGAATGCCATTAACATTTTGATATGTGCTGTGTCCAAACCTGTGGATTGCTTGAGACAATGCATTAGGCATTTTAATAGTATTAATTTTTTCAGTCCACGAGACATCTTTTCATTTATGTGTATATCTGATATTATTTCCTTTTTTTTTATAAATTTCATTGTCAAAATCTTTCATTTCCTTAAATTTATTAGTAGATATTTTTGTCAGTGTGTACAGATGGTGTAAATGGAATTTTCATTTAAATTTATTTTACTGTCAATTTGCTATTGGTATAAAATAGTCTCCATTATTCATCTATATTTTGTAACTGGGAATCTTAAGGTATGGAGAGATTAGTATGTCTACCTGTTATACAATATGAGCAAGTAGGGTCTAAACACGGACAGCAAAATTAGTTACCAGGAGCCTCAAGATATACTCTTGAGAACAGCTTGACAATGGTATTTGTGAATTACATCAACAGTGTTCTAAGGCAACCATATAAACTAAATCAAAGTTGAAAAACAATAGTAAGATAATAGAAGAATTTTTGTGTGAAAAATAATCTAAAAGCAAGGGTCAGAAGCATTTAACTTGTTCTAAGAAATTTTGGTTTCTTCTTATATGAAACCTAACGCCAGCTCCACAGTACCACTTAGGATCTCTTCTATCTTAAGACAGAAGATAAAACTGCCCAGGCAGCTTAGGGGCAAAGATCCTCAAAATTCACAATTCCATTCTCATCCTTGGCCAGAAGCAGGATATGTTCTTGGATTTATGGTTAGGAATGCCAGAAAAGGAGCTCTGGGTTCTTAACTCTTTCAAAATGAGCACCCTTGCCTTGAGACTATATATGACCATGTGAACCAAGATCTAGTCCGGACACTAATCCCTTCTGATGAACAGCTTTGGAACTGGATCTCTAGATTTTCATGGTGAAATGGGTTGTATCTATTCATCAATTTCAGCCTATTTCCTAAATGATTTTAGGGTCTCTTAACCTGGGAATATTATAGAAGTCTTGGAAGCCAATGAGAATGGGTACTAGGGCTCTCTTAAGGCTTATTAGGGAGAGCTATTTCCTCCAGGACAAAATTGAGTCTGTCTCTGTCCCTGCATGAAGATATAACGTACCTTAAGAACTGGTCTAACTGGATCTGTCAATCACCTGGGCACGATACCACCCCTCAGAAAAACTGATTCATCTTAAGCCATGCTAAAGAGGTGAGATGAATAATTATCCCCTTAATGAGATAATCTACTTATTTTTAAAAAAAAAAAAATGCTTGCCAGGCTTCCTCATAGAAGACTGTGGAGATGCCTACTTATCTGAGTTACTCAGAGGAGCATAAATTTTTCTTGTTGTACTTTCTATCTCTTCTTCTAAAACTTACCATGCTTTTCTTGATGCCCTGGGATTTCTCACTCTTTCTCTGAAGCTCCCACCCATCTTCTGCCATGTGGCTGCTTACAAATGGCATGTCTTTCTCTCTTCCTCTTCTCTCTTCCTCTGGCTGGGAAAATTTACAGCCTGTCCACCCTGTTGTTTTTCTCTTAAACTGTAATAACAGTGTCCTTGGGGTTTTTTGTTTGTGTGCGTGCGTGTATGTTTCTAAATTTAAATAAGAAGACTAAGAACTTAAAAGAGGAAATCCCAGTTGTGATGGGGCTCTACAAATTTTCTGGTAACACAACCACATTCAAAAATGCCCAATTGCTACACACATATTAAGTGATGAGTATTATAATTACAGAATACGTCCAGCGATACTCTTTCTAAATAAAGTTGTTTCCTCAATGGCCCATTACTCTTGCATAGGTGTGCTGTGGTTTTTTATCAGAGCAATCCTCTGCTCTGCAACTTGCCTGAGAAGGCAGAACTCACAGTATCATCACTCAGACTCCCTGACACTCTGACATTTACCGTATTTGGCTAGCAAGAGGAACTAAGAAGTTAGAGACAAGAAGAGAGAAAAGTCAGAGTATTTGCTTCTTCTTCTTCTTCTTCTTCTTCTTCTTCTTCTTCTTCTTCTTCTTCTTCTTCTTCTTCTTCTTCTTCTTCTTCTTCTTCTTCTTCTTCTTCTTCTTCTTCCCTGCCTGGCTGTGGTTTAGGCACCAGCTGTTTCCCACCAGCCAGAGCCAGAGTGCTTGCTGCATCACTCTTAGCATTTGTCTAATTCCTTTTGAACTGCTTGGACATCACTTCAAGTTCAACTGCAAAAGCAACTCCCCACACTTGGTCCTTGATGCTTCTCCATCACTTGCAAATTAGCAATTTATCTTTCCTGCTCATATCATAAATAGAACACCTTCATTGAGCCCTAGTCAATCAAGCAGCACATCAGCTCTGACTAATAAGGTTGGAGAGGAGAGTCAGGAAACAGGAGCAACAGTGAGAAACAGAATTTGAGTTACATACCAGTAAAGCAGCACAAATCGGACCATGGATAATGTAGAGGAGATGGGTATCGGAGCTGATCCAGCAACTAGGGGATAAAGTGAAGACATTACATAGAAAGTTTTCACTTCTCTTAGCTCTAATAGAAGTCACAAGCGGAAGATATCTTACTTGTCGTTGTAATACAAGCTTCTGGCAATGGCATGGATGCAGGCAGGAAGCAGCGGAAACCCTACAAGTGAGGCAAAAGCAAATGAATAGACGCCCTTCCTTACAGATGAGGCTTCTCAAAGAAGTCGTGAATGTGAAATTCGGAGACACTTCAGTAGCAACCAATAGTTAGCCACCTATGTTTACTGTGTAATCACGTGTGTATAGTCAATCAGTAGATGTGGGCCAACTATCAGGTTTGAAAATCACATACCATTCTGAATCAGTAAGATTCCAGAGTTCAAAACCATAATATGCTGCCTAAGTCACAATCCTTGAGAGAATTTCTGTATTCCTAGAATTTCTGTGGGGTGAAATTGGCTAATATTTAATATTAATTGTTGGAAATTTTGAGGCTGATAATTATTTCTACTGTAAGAGACAGATTCACAGTAAGCCATGTTTTGCAGAAAAAGAGAAAAATATGTTTCTTATACCAAGATTTCTGCGTGTTTTGAAGCTTTCAAATAAGATCTTGAAAAAACTGAAGTGAAATGTTTTATAGAGACAATCAGGACATGCTGACAATTTGGTATGTGAACAAGCATACCTCTTTAAATATATCTCAATATCTACATCTCCATCTAGGTAGATAATAAAAAAATAAAATGTCTGTTTTATCTCTGGAAACTAGTCCTATTAAATCAATTTCCTACATATTATGTTAATATGCATTATTCCAATGACCTTAAGAAACATGGCAGTATGTTTCACTGTTAGTTCTGGTGAGTAACACAATGCCAAGGGATTAAGTGAAAGAAGCAGATCTTTTGAAAACTTTAATTCAATTATTGACACCCCTAATTTAACTATAAAATGACAGTTTAAGAAGATCTCAACAGGGCTGGATGTGGTGACACACATCTTCAATCCCAACACTCAGAAGGCAGAAGCAGGTGAATCTCTGCAAATTCACACCCTTCCTGATCTACTTGGCAAATTCTAAGCCAAGAAGATCTGGTCTCAAAAACAAAGAGACAAATAGGAAGGAAGGAAGGAAGGAAGGAAGGAAGGAAGGAAGGGAGGGAGGGAGGGAGGGAGGGAGGGAGGGAGGGAGGGAGGGAGGGAGGGAGGGAAGAGAACCTCGAAGGGTTTTTGGTGAAATTTCAAAGCACCAATGTCCTCATTTTACACATGGCAAAGGAAATTCAGTAGAGGGCAGAGACGAGATCTTTAATTCATAATTTCAGTTCTATTGTTTTAGACACTATGCATTCAGCTCAGACAAGCTTGTCATTGGAATACCAAATGTTAAAAAGGTATCATATTATTAATCAAAATGAGACAATGAGTTTGTGACACTTTGCTTTACATACTTCCATTTGTCACAATGAGAAAAGTATCAATTTACATGTTAAGAATGATTGGTAATAAGTCACATTGCCTGAAAGCTAAAAGCCTTCTTAATCAGATGACTCTGAAGGTGATCACAGTGGCACCTACCCCAGCCAAGAAAATAATACCACATCAAGTGCTGCTTCTCTGCAAACACGGCCACCACAATGAGTGTGTGCAGGTAAATGCCTTCACAGAGCATCCAGAAGTAGTTACAGCCCATCAGGTAAAGATGAATGAACTGAGACACTTTGCAGCTCACCTAGGAGGGGAAAAGAGTGCTTTCTTAGTTTATGAGATCCACATGTGAAGCAGTTGTCTAGTTTATTTCAGAAACCGTGGGTTTTTTCTCCCCCTCACACAAAACTGTGCAAACTAGGGAGTTTGGGTTGTATGATGCTCTTTTGAACACTCGTCCCACGATGGCTCTGAAGTTATTAACCATGAACTCTATCAGTTCATAAGAATCATGTGATATTCCAAACAATTCTGTAAGTCCAAAGTATCCCTTTGCTTAAAGGGCGTCTGTTTTTCTAATGTGTTCTGGTTATTGCATAATGAATATAAACTGTCCACACATACGCAAGTGCACATCTGTTTGATTGTGGTTGTTGCTTTTGGTTAGAAAAACTTAGATAGTCTTATCTGCACTTAATTAAACATGTGCAAGTACTTGGCAAGTTTTGTGTCCTTCATTCCACAGGCATAAATAAAACTTACTAAGTAATTCTCCAATGAATCTACACATTATCCACATATAAAATATGAGATTTTCATGCCAGGATAAAGATAAAGAACTGTGACTTTGCTTCCTCTTTTCCTTGGGCTCCCACCCTCTCTTCTCTTATAGAGGGAAGAAGAAAGTTTCAAACATCAGATAAAGGAAACACAAAGGAGCTGAGAGATAAAGATTCTTTTATCCAAGTGAGTGAATGTGTAGCAATATGTGGCAATCTTCAATTTCCAGTCTAAAAGTCAGTACATATTTAGCAGTTATTATAATTTTCTGAAACAAATATCATATTACAAACCTAAAGCACTGGGAAATAAGCTTCGAGTTATCATGAACTAGAACAAATAGCATTTGCATAAATATCATCCTAAAGCATTTGTAAAGTTATCATTTATACATATTACCAAATCCCTGAATGTTTCTGTGAGGCATGCATTATAAATGGCATATCTATACACATTGTATAGATAGAAAATTTGTACTAGGAAAGTGAGATTATTTGCAAATATTCATATAACATTAATCAGAGCTGCATCCTAAACAAAAGTCTATAATTTTATTTTTATGATTATATACATATAATAACACCTTACTAAAGGATATTTGCAATGTCATTTCTTCATTTAATATGTGTTAAAAATTCATTTACAAAATTATAAATAATGCAGTATGTGTTTTACAAAATGATATTTAAGTCTCTCAAAGATAAAATAATTTTTAAAGATGATTTCAGTATATTTATGATGTATTTAATTTTCAGTGTTTATATAGGTATTACATTCTTTTCTAACTAAATTTGATTTTGATGTTACTTTAATCCCAGCACTTGGGAGACAGAGGTAGACAGATCTGAGTTCGAGACCAGCCTGGTCTACAGAGTGAGTTCCAGGACAGCCAGAGCTACACAGAAAAACCATGTTTTGAAAAGCAAAAAAAAAAAAAATTAAAGTAAAATTAATATAAATTATTATAAGGAAAAGCATTTAGGATATATTTCAGAAAAATATTTCTGTGGAGGGCACTGTTAACATAATCAGAAAATACTTTTTTCCAAATAATAAATTCATTGTACTTTAACTTATACTTTCTCTATTAAATGCATACCCTTATGCATAAATGTAAGATTAGAAACTCTTACTATGTTACAAAACAGATCCCCTCATTCCTAGAGAAATTCATTCTGAACTGGCAGAATGCCAGCCAATGTTTTATATTGCTAATTATATCCTGGTCTGTTTCCTACCCCAGTGACTTTAGAGAGAAACACAAGAAAGATTAAATCACCCGGATGCACATTTGCAAACAATGGGAGAAACTTTAGAACTTTGTAAATTACCCTAAAAACACACATAAAACACATACAAGAGTGTTATTTATTGACCCATTTGTTGAAAATTCCTTCCCTTCTCTGATTCCAGTAACTAGATAATATAATCCAGAAAACACAACTTAATGTTCCCAAGAGCTCAAACACACAGAGACACATACACACATACACAAAACACATGCATACCACACACACACACACACACACACGCACACGCACACGTACACGCACACGCACACACATCACCCATACATATGCCACACACACATACCACACACATACACACACAACACCATGTACACCATATATTGACACATACCACACACATATACACCATGCAAGCACACACCACAGATGCACACATATACATACACACCACATACACACCACACATGCATACACACCATATACACAAACATCACACATACACACACACCACACACGTACACCATATATTCACACACACAATACACACATACCATATACACACACACACATCCCACATACACACATGACACATATACACACACACCACACATACCATACATACACACAGAGATACCACACAAACACAGACATATACATACGCATCTATATCCAAAATTGGAGTTTTGCTACAATGTTAAAGTAGATGAGTCTAAAAGTATGAGCCGGGCGGTGGTGGCGCATGCCTTTAATCCCAGCACTCGGGAGGCAGAGCCAGGCGGATCTCTGTGAGTTGAGGCCAGCCTGGGCTACCAAGTGAGTTCCAGGAAAAGGCGCAAAGCTACACAGAGAAACCCTGTCTTGAAAAAACCAAAAAAGTAAAAAATAAAAAAAATTAAAGTATTAATATTTCTGCTATATATATATATATATATATATATATATATATATATATATGTATGTATGTATCTGTAGTGGGTAGTTGTTCCAGCTTTGACCTGGAAGTACTGCCCCTAGTGAGGCTTCTGGTAACTGCCACACCTAGCTATGACCTGCCCTTGGGGCAGGGCCAAGACAGGAGCCCTGAAGACCCAAGATCTGGAAGTGCTGGGTCTCTTAGTTCCTTGTCATCCTAGATGCTGAATGGTAGACTGAGCAGAGTTCTCCAGAGAACACTGCTGGACTGCGCTTCACCTCTCCCAGACCCTGTAACCAACCCCTCTACTGGCTGTAAGTTACCCTGAAATAAACCTCCTTTTTAAGTATGTGGAGTTACCTTAATAAATCCCCACAATATGTATCTGGCTCCAAGCATAGTATATATAAACATATCACAGATAATTTATATACGTAAAAATTTTAGCATATATTTTTAAAATATGGCTTATAGGAAAAAGTTTTATTAGTGTATATTGAGACAATGGTAGAGTGTTCTAACGTTTTATTTTAATGGAGTTTAACATTACATACAAAGTATGTAAATCCTTATCTTCCTGGTCTTATTAATTTTTTGTTGTTGTTGTTGTTGTTTTGTTGTTGGTGTTTTTCGAGACAGGGTTTATAGCTTTGTGCCTTCTCTGGAACTCACTCTAGCCCAGGCTGGCCTCGAAATCACAGAGATTCACCTGGCTCTGCCTCCTGAGGTGGTGCACGCCTTTAATCCCAGCACTCGGGAGGCAGAGTCAGGTTTTATTAATTTTTAATGTAAGCCTGATGCCAAAATATAATTTAAAGTTCCCATTACATATATAGTTTCCTTTCATGCAAGTACTCAGTTGCTTTAATTGCTTTTTAAATTGAATTGAGCAAATGTTGTGTATTCATCGTCTATGGGCCAGCAGTACCAGGACTCCATAGCCATGACATGGCCTGAAGCCATGGAAATATTAAAGGAAATTTACCTTCCTAGACTGTAATATTGCTAAGATAGACTTTTTACATGTCAAACCCCAAAGTTTACATATATATATATTGGTTTTCTGAGACAGGGTTTCTCTGTGTAGCTTTGCGCCTTTCCTGGAACTCACTCTGTAGTCCAGGCTGGCATCAAACTCACACAGATCCGCCTGCCTCTGCCTTCCAAGTGCTAGGATTAAAGACATGTGCCACCACCGCCCAGCTATATATATATTTATTTAATGACACATATATTCCATATCAGAAGCCACTCCCAACCCATGTCTCTTCCCACTAATTCTCAAAGGTAGGACCATGCTTTACTTACAGGATTTGTGGCCACTAAGGGCTGGTTATTAGCCACAGCAGTGAGGTGAATGATTGTTACAATCGAATTACAAACAAATGAAAAGAACAGATTTTTATGCAAGGTGATCCGTTGGCAACTCAGGCTCCTACAAGGCAAAAGAAATACACTGTGTTGATATCATAAAATGTTTCTACATTTTTAATTAAATGTAATTTAAATAAAGTGTACTTTCAACTGATAGAGGTTGCTCTAATTTTGAAAAAAAAATTTGTTTATCCCTAATTTTCACTTGGTAAAAATGTTAATTGAGGAAAAACCCTGATAAAAATGAGTTGCTTTAGTAGGGGTGACCATATGGAAGGATGGGGAACTTGCCTGTAAAAAACCTCTACATTAATTTCTTCTGCTTAATTCAAACACAATTAATATTTTAATTCATTCTGCAAAGGCAGAAATTGAGATTCAGGGAAGTTACATAGTCAAAAACATGTTGATAATGAACTTGAATACTTCAATTTATCTGAGACTGTCACGCAGATAAAATGCCTCTAGTTACACTACATGGTCTGCTTTGCTTACATACAAGTATATTTTGTTGGGGTGGTAATGACTATATTCATATTAATCAGTCATAGGAAATATAATTGCATTTAGACTAGCTGCATTGACGAAAATTAGAAATCATTGATGATTGTTCAGTATTGTTGATTATTTTTCTGGTTGCCACAAATACCCTCAAGATATAAAAAGAAGTTGACCTTTTATCATTTGTATAAAACAAAAGGGAACTGGCCCTGTGTCGTTCATATAGAGTAGATTTCAGAAAAGGTGTCATTACAGTTGAGTGAAGCAGCTTTTCAGATGTAATTAACAGTCAAGCTTAGATTTTTTTTTTTTTACATGACTACCTTGCCCACATTCAAGGGAAAATTCCAGCACAAATTCCCTCAGAAGCAATTGAGTGGTTTTATTTGGGGTTCCCAGTAATGATAATACAATGAAACCTACATGAAACCGACTGCTGACTGGCGAAGTTAAGCACGTGTGTAGGAATGCATGACGCATCATTTCATCGCAGAAAATAAAACCTCATACGTATTTTACTGAAACTAATCAAATAGTCTTTCTTGAGAACCATCCTACATAGTTCCAAGATTTCTACTTTGAAAATTAAAGATTTAGTATAATTTTGTCACTTCCCTTTACATTAAGAAACAGAACGTCAAAATTTGGAATTAGGATAGGTATCAATGTTTTCTGTGTTTAAAAATACAAAGTTTAGACTGTTTTCCTTCTGAGATGTATGTAGCTCTGTGATTCTATATATACCTCTACTGTTTCAAAGAATGAGGAAGTCAGTATAACCCAAACTAATGTTTACAGGTTGCCAATACATGCTGGATGCTATTAGTGAAGATTTATAAAAGAGTAATGATGAGATAACTCTTAAAATAACCATTGAGTGTAGATGAAGAAGTCATTTAACAGCAGGTGTTTGCAATCATCGGCAATCCATCAAAATACAAAGAATCGCGACTCCTTTTTTCATACTAGAGTCAGTGAACGTGACTTGATTCATAGTGCATAGTAGCATGAGAGGAAGGTTTGGATAAAGTTTGATCTACAGAGTGTTGAAGATATTCCACAGAAAAAAGAAATTTCCAAGAATTTTTAAGAGTAGCATGATTCTTGTAATTTAAAGAAATCCAACACTGAAAGATAGGCCTATTTTCAATAAAATTACACAGTAATGACAATGCAGACAATGGATGAAAAAGACAGGACTACTTAAAGATACTTGTAGCTAGAGTTTTCCTGCCTGGCCCACAGTCAGGACAAATCTCTGTCACCCACTAGTCCCACAGCAGCTCAGACCCGACCAAGTAAACACAGAGACTTATATTGGTTACAAACTGTATGGCTGTGGCAGGCTTCTTGCTAACTGTTCTTACAGCTTAAATTAATCCATTTCCATTAATCTATACCTTGCCACATGGCTCGTGGCTTATCGGCATCTTCACATGCTGCTTGTCCTGGTGGCGGCTGGCAGTGTCTCTCCCAGCCTTCTACTTCCCAACTTTATTCTCCTCCTTGTCCCGCCTATACTTCCTGCCTGACCACTGGCCAATCAGTGATTTATTTATTGACCAATCAGCAACACATTTGACATACAGATCATCCCACAGCAGATACTCTTCTTACAGTGACGATGAAGACAACAGATGAATAGGACAGGACTACTTAAAGATACTCTTCTAACGTTATATGCTGTTTATTTCCATAATGTATCTCTCCTATGACAGAAGTCATGAACAGACAACTTTCTGCTGGAGATTTCCACTGTTTCTATGGAGTGCCAAGCATTGTGTAGGGAGGAACTACTTAGTAATGCACATAGGTGCTTCTTTGGGTTTCAGAATTTAAGTAAATGAGCTATCAGCAAAAAAAATACTTCTTTTTTTGGCGGCTAGTTTGCCTTTTTCTGCTGAATACCTAATCTAAGTCATTGGATAAGACCCATACCCCCTCTTTTAAAAAAATCATAATTTTCGAAATATGATTAAAGATTAGAAAGCTTTGCTTAAAGGGCAAATTTGAAGTATTTTAAAGTAATTGGTTGAAAGCATTAAAGAAATCTATTATAAAATAGCAATACATGCCAGACCTGGTGACAGAGGCCTAAAATCTTAACTATTTGGGAGGTCAAGGCAGGAGGACAAAAAATTTAAGGCTAGCCTGGGCTACAGAGGGAGTTGCAGACCAGGTTTAAAAACTTAATAAGATTCTATTTCAACACAGAATTTAAAAAAAATCACTGTGCTAGGAAAGTATTTCAGTGGTAGAGACCCACCTAGCATGCACAGAGCCATGGGTTTAGTCTCTGGTACTGCCAACCGATTAGCTAATTAAAATTAAAACTAAAAATGGTAACACTTGAATGCAGTAGTAAATGAAAGTTGAAAGATAGGATCTGAGGAATATAATAACAACATTTATAATGATATCAGTTAATACATGGTATACATGTATGAAATTCAAAAATAAAAAATATGATGTTAAAAGATAATTGTAACTTGATATTAATGATGTGCTCATGGGAAAAGATTGGAAGAAATTAAAGTGTTAACCATAGTTAAAAATGTTTAGACTTCCCTTTGTACATGCGAACATCCTGCCCTTTCCTATACTAACCCACATGTCTGTTCCCCTCAGAAATTTCCTTTGCGTTGATTGCCCCTTCCCCAATCTGTCTTAAATGGTGAAAAGTTAGCAATGAGCAGCTGGTACATATCGTCTTCTGAAGATGTAACTGAGTATCAAGCCTCCATAACCCGAGCCACCGATCTCTGTTTTAGCAATCCTGATGTTCAGCTGAGCTGTCAAGACTGTTAGAGTAAACTAGACCACTGCCAAAGCAGTTCACTCTATGTTGTGAAAACATATCGCACTGTCTAAAACGCTGGTCTGTTGCTTTAGTTTCCTCCATGTCTGCCTCTAGGCACTGCACAGATTAAACAATGCAGACAGATGCTATCTGACATATGGATTCCATCAAGGTCTAGTGATAAAAATGTCTCAGATTTAGACAGTGATTCCTATTGTTTCCTTTGAAACACACACATTAACACATGTAAGTAGATTGGCACAGATAAAAATCAACTTGTACGTAAAATTTTTAAATCAAATTATTAAACAGATGATTTACTTAAACATGATAAAATTTTGAGATATATACATATAAAATTTGTTCTGAGGACTGCAACTCAAGGCTTTGTATGTGCTGGACAAATCCTCTTCCACAGCTAATGACTTTTTTTTTTTGGAGATGAGTTCTCCCTATGTAGGCCCAGCTGGCTTCGATATTGTCATGTAGCTCAGGGTGGCCTCAAACTCACAGATATTCACATGCCTCTGCCTCTGCCTCTGCCTCTGCCTCTGCCTCTGCCTCTGCCTCTGCCTCTGCCTCTGCCTCTGCCTCTGCCTCTGCCTCTGCCTCTGCCTCTGCCTCTGCCTCTGCCTCTGCCTCTGCCTCTGCCTCTGCCTCTGCCTCTGCCTCTGCCTCTGCCTCTGCCTCTGCCTCAAGTGCTGGAATTTATTATCTGATTGATATCACAGGGAGGCCTACTCTTTTCTGAAAGGAAATGGAGGAGCAGTGGACTGGGGGAGAGGGGAGAGAGGAGGGAGGATGGGGAGGATGTATTTTATGAGAGAAGAATAAAGAAAAAGAAAGAAAGAAAAGACATGCACCACCATGCCTGGTTAGAGATATTTTTTAATTATTAATCTGTGTGCAATATTTACCTACTCCAAATTATTACTTTACTCAAATATTAAAAGCAACTAGTTATTATCCTTGGAAATACTTTGCAAAAAAAATCTTGCTGCTTTCTTTAACTAACTACCTTTTCTATTTTAGCATAATCACAGAATAAAAAATGTGGTTAATGAGTCTGTATTGTCTCCATTTTGTATTCTTTTCTGATAATTATTTTAGAAAATCATTTCAGGATGTAATTTTTGGTAAGCAGAGTTGCACAGGCAACTGGTACAAGTATGCCAATAACACCATTCTAATATGGGCCACTGCAGCTCTCTTTTGGAACAATTTTCAACAGATGACATCAAATCAGCACACGAGGTCCTGACTGGGCTTTGGAAGCCTGAGCCCTTCCTCACAACATGCATTTGAACAAGTTTTTAACATCTCTAATTCTCAGACTCCTTAGTTATACTAGAGGGATCATTATATGATTGCCTTGAAGATTAAATATGATAAACCATGACATGTGTTTAGTACAACCTATGGGGAACACTTATAAATGTTAATTATTATCTTTAGCGTCATTAGCACATGGTTCATTTTAATTATGCAGTCAATAGTTTCCTGACACAATAGTAAGAGAGCATCAAATTCTATCTCAGTGATTTTAAACTGCTTCAATAGTGAAACAAACATGTTTTATGTGGCCCAACAAAAGAATTAAAAACCTATCACGTTTTTGTTACAATCACAGGAATTCAACAATCAGAAGATAATTTCAATATGATGAAAACTCAATTGATCAAACACCTAAATTCTTTTCCAATGGAATTCCACTCTCTCTACATGTATCTCCAAACCACTGTGTTTACTATCATGTTGAC